GTGACTGCCCCAAAGGCTGTTTTTTGCTGGAAGTAAAAACTGGGAACTAGCAAAAATTAAAAATTAAAAGTAAACCAAGGTCATATAACTGCAGGATGATGTCAATGACTGTAAAGGTGAGCTGGCTACCAAATGCGATCATGTGACCAAGGGCTTGTATACATCTATTATAATTGTGAAAATGAATTGTAAGTAGCTGTAGGTTAGTTTAGTGACTGGTCATTAGTAGAGGACTACCTTTATATACTAGACTGGACTGGTCTGGACTAGACTAGACTAGAATAACAGAGTTGGAAGGGACCTTGGAAGTCTTCAAATCCAACACCCTGCTCAAGCAGGAGACCCTATACCATTTCAGACATATGGCTATCCAATCTCTTCTTAAAATCATCTAATGATGGAGTACCCACAGCTTCTGAAGGCAAGCTGTTCCAGTGATTGATTGCTGTATCAGGCAATTTCTCCTTATTTCTAGGTTGGATCTCTCCTTAATGAGTTTCCATCCATTGCTTCTTGTCCTGCCTTCAGATACTTTGGAGAATAGGTTGACCCTATCTTCTTTGTGGCTGCCCCTTGGAAGACTACTATCATGTCACCCCCTAGCCCTTCTTTTTGTTAGGCTACGAATACCCAGTTCCTGCAACATTTTGATGTTTTAGCCTCCAATCCCCTAATCCTCTTTGTTGCTCTTCTCTGCATACTTTCCAGAATCTCAACAATTTCTTATATTGTGGTGAACAAAATTGGATGCAATATCCCAAATGTGGTCTTACCAAGGTATTGTATATTGCAGTGATGGCAAGCATTTTTTGGCTGCCGTGCCAAAAGTAGGGGTAGCACAAGGGGATCATGCGCTGGCATGCCACACCCATAATGCTATGCGGTGACCTCCCCCAGCACACATGCATGCGTGCGATCAGCAACAAACAACCCACCCTCACTTTTGCTGCGGCTTTTTCACCTTCCCCAAGCTCCAGAGGCTTTCTAGGACTCTGGGGAGGGCAAAAACAGCCTCCCCTGACCCCCCCGGACACCCTCTGGAGGCTTCAGGAGCTTCCCTTAAGCCTCTGAAGGGCGAAAAATGGACCTATGGGGAACCTGGAAGTTCAGGAATGGTGACTTCTGGTTTATCCATAGGGCAGATTTTTGACCTCTGGAGCCTTCAGGAGGCTTCCTTGAAGGCTCTGGAGGGTGAAAAACGGCCCTATGGACAAACTGGAAGTCCATTCCTGAATTTCCAGTTTGCCTGTAGGGCCTGTTTTTCATGCTTTTGGAGGGTGAAAAATGGCCTCAAAAGAAGGCCGAAGTCAACTGGCCAGCACAGGCATGCGCGCTGGCCAGCTGACAGGACAATGCCTCCTGTGCCCTTACAAATGGCTCCACGTGCCACCTGTGGCACACGTGCCATAGGTTCGCCATCACGGGTATATTGTATGCCATTTTGCTATTTCTGCAAAAATTCAGTTAGCTCATTTTAAAATAATGAATATATCACAAACTATTAGGAAAGTATTAGCTGTTGGATTCAGTCTAAAGCAGTTTTTCTCAATCTTGGCAACTCTAAGGTGTGTGGACTTCAACTCCCAAAATTCCCTAGCCAGAGTATAGCACTAGCTGGGGAGTTCTGGGAGTTGAAGTCAACGCATCTTAAAGTTGCCAAGGTTGAGAAGCAGTACTGTAAAGACAAATGGAAAACTCTTTTACAGTGCAGTCTTGTATTGCAAAGTATTAGGGATGAAGGCTTGAGAAACAGTGAGAAAGATTCAGACTTGTATATTGTATTTGAATGATGGATATCTACATAGATGAACTACAAACAGAGTAGCAACAATAGTGCATTGAAAGATCTGCAAGAAATACCATTTGCCTACAAGCAAGAACTGGTGAGAACATAAAATGGACATATTTTTTTTAAAAAAAATTACGAAGTAGCTAAAGTGCACTGGGATCTTAAAATTCAGACAGACAGGAATCTTCCATGTATTAACTTAATCTTAACAATTGTCAATAAGAAGGACAAAAAAGTCTGGTTAATGGATGTTGTAGTGTATAGAGATAGCAGAAGAGAAGAGAAAGAACTGGAGACAATCACAAAATACGAAGGCCTACAAACAGAAGTAAAATGAGTGTGTTGAATGAAAGCAAAGATAGAACCAACAGTGATAAGTGCCTTAGATACAACCTCAAAACATTTAGAACACCACTTGAACACCATTGGCATTGACATTGCCCGTCAATTGCAAAAAGTAGATTTACTTGGAACAGCTTCCATCTTGCAACAACACTTTTATACCATCAAATGACATCTGCTTATCCCAGGTCCTTGAGAAGGATTCAGCAGAAGGATAAAATGCCAAATACAGTGTAAAGATTTGGCTGACTGTGCGACACAACAGTAGTAATACATTGTTGGTAAGAAAGAAAGAAAAGGTATGAATAATGAATGTGGTACCTAGAGTCAGCAGGGTAGAAGGAAAAGAACTGGAGAGAATAGGAAAAATACTAAGACCTGCAAATACCAATAGTAGAATGACTGTGGCAAAAGGAAACAAATACAATAGTAATAAGTGCCTTGGTTACAATCCCAAAACATCATGAGCATCACTTGAACACTATCGGCATTGACAAAACCACTGTCAATCAATTGCAAAAGGCAGTTTTATTTATAACAAGTTACATACTGCAACAATACCTCTAACACCATCAAAACCCAGTATCTGCTTCTTCCAAGTCCTTGGGAAGGGCTTGATAGGTAGGATAAAAATGCCAGATGCAGTCTAAACTTTCAGTTGACTGTATGGCCAACCATAATAAAAATACCCAGCCAAGAAGTTTCTTGAATGAATTCAATAATGAAATAAAACAAAGTGAATTCACTAATAAAGTGAATTCAAGATAGCATTAAAAAAAACACACCACAGTACTTAGGAGGTCTTTACACTTGTTTACAGTTTACAGTTATAGAAAAACAAGATCCCTAAATATATATTTTTGCAAGTCAGTCTTTAGCAATTTCCTCAGAAAAATTAGCTATTTTTCTGAGAAAATTAGTGAACAAAACACTAAGATTTAAGTCTCTTTGGTATCCCCCCTCAAATAAAAGATTGATTTTAATATCTACTTTTTCCATTATATATTCAAATCCAACAGACTAAATTAACTTATTATTGTAGTCATATTTTGTAACACTGTGAAAGAAAACTTTTAAATCAATGCAATACTATTTTTCAGCCATTAGGTGGTACTATAAACATATAAGAGAAGACTGCCTACAACTTGGTTTATCTACCTTTTTATGTATCGGAGCACAATTATTCAGACCACAGCTATTTAAGCTAAAATAGGACCAGAATTCAATGCGATCTAAGTTTATCATTTTATACATTTATCAAAATGAAAAGTATATTGTGCACTCTTTGGTCTATGGCAGTTTAGATAACAAATAAAATTAATACAAATAAATAAATTATTACCTATATTCAGTAGGGCAGCTATTTAAACATTTTTAACTCCAAGGATTCAGTTGAGACAGCGCAAACGTAAAATCTGAGCCAACATCCCTGGATTCCAGGCTGGCAAATTCAAAATACATTAAATTGGAACTATTGCAAGTTCTCTGCCTCCCCCTCTCCTTTCTGCAATGCCTATAAAAATCCTCTGAGCAGCAATTAAATATGATTGCACTTGACACTGTGCAATGAAGAATTTAAAATGACAAACTCCTAAGTAAGCCCTAGCTCAGCTTTTCCCATATGCACAGCCCAATTGTGTGGAGATCATGAGGATAGCAGTCATAGCTCATCAAGAGTGCTTGTGATGGGGTGAGGGGGATTGTCTTAGTTAATCCTGATTATAACGGAGACATGAAACTATAAACCATCAGCATCATTTAATCCTTGCAACTTTATCACCTATAATGCATGTATCAGTGATATTATCATGGAACAACGCATCATATGACATGCTGCAGATTATTGTTATTGCTGGATTTTCTCCATCTGTCAAATTGCCCTGATTGATTATATGCCATCAAGTCCCCAACCTGGTCCTCTGTCTCTTGCCTTTCATCTTTCCCAGCATTAGAGTCTTCTCCAGAGAGCTGGGTTTTTTGCATAATGTGTCTGAAGTCGGATAATTTGAGCCTGGTTATTTGTGCCTCGAGTGAAAAATCTGGGTTGAGTAGTAGCACTAATTAACTCTTTTTATATTACTCAGTCCTCAATGCTCTTTCCTGGGAGTAAGCCTCCCTGAACTCAATGGGGTTCACTGTAGTCCTGGGCAAAATTGTGCTGTGTATAGGTTTCTTTGCAGTAAACATGAATGGGATATTTTACTGCAAAGGCATAATTTGGCTCCTTTTTTGACTTCACAATAAAATGACTCTTTTCTTTACTCTCAGATTCTTTCCCCCCATCCTACATTGCTTTGACAGATCACAAAGTTCTATCTGTAAAGGCTAGCATTCCCTCTCCCTGCTCCCCGTGTGGGTGTGTGTGTGTGTGTGGGTGTGTGTAAAAAACAAAACTCGTCTTCACCTTAGCTCAGTTTTATTCTGCATTGCTCTTAAGGACAATAGCAAACTTGTTAGCTAGGTAGCCTTTAGCAAGTTAGTCAAACAAATTCCGGGTTTAGGACAAGGACAAAAGTTAAATGAATGGCCACAGCCAGCGACTGCTGCTGCCACTGCCAGAGACGAGCTGCAGAGTTTGAAGATTTTTCATCCAGAAGATCGAGCAGTGTAAGCTTTCCTGGGGAATCGCTGTTGGTTGAGGGAGAGCTGTCTGAGGCACTCTCGTGCTGCTGTACTTCTCCTTCTGCAGCCGGTTAAAAAAAACGGAGAAGGGAGAAGCGAACGAATGAGTCCCACCCACTCTAGGTCTGCTTTCTCAAAGCCATATTCCTTTAAGATGATGTAATAGCCATTTCCCTGGATGGTTTCTTCCCTGCACTGCTGAAACAACAGCATCTGAACTGCACTGGGAACTGTGGAACCACCCAGCTCAGCAACTAGAGCAGCAGCTTAAGGTAGTGAAAGCACCAGGAGCAGCTTCCCTGGGCAGCCTTTTCAAACCTGCTGCAGGCTTGCACTCTCAGCCTAGCTGAGGACATGAGAAGCTCTCTGTGGAGAGTGATGGAGAAAGGGACTGCTCTGGGATGGAGCTCCTGAAAGATGCCTGGGGACTCCTCAGCATCTGGGCTTTCTGCAAGTCATCAAAACCAAATCCCCTCCCCTCCTAAAGGATCCTGACTTTGGGATTTATGTTGTTTTGCCTGTTCTGCCTCGTCTCCTGCTACACGGCTCTATTTCTCTTCCGTGCCTATTCCTGGTTAACTTTTGCATGTGTGGGTTTAACTCTTAACTTCTGCCTGGATCTTGCCAAATGGACTCAGCTTATCTTCTCTGAGCCTTTTCCCTCTTTGGATTTGCTGCTTCTCGAGTTGCAACCTACCACAACCATGATGTTGCTCCTGGAGCTGCTTAGAAAATGTTGTTGCTTCCTCTCAGAAGAACTGCATGCAGCAGCGTGACCAAGGTAAGGAGAGTCTCATCTCCTTTAAATGAGAATCGTGGGCAACGTGAAATGTGCAGGGAATCGGTTAATGCCTTTTCTGACAGGCAAAGAAATCCAAAAGGGGGAGGAAAAAAAAGAGAGGATGAAATAAGCAAATGTTCCCTTAAAGGGGTGACTTGTGGAGCTTTTGTAACTCAAATGCTTTTTTTTTGTTTTGTTCTCTCAATCTTTTTCTCCATGCCTAGGGGGATAATGATTTTCTATTTTTCTTCTTATTCAACAGGCTTGTGAATAACAGGGATCTTGGGTTGATCATACTGTTTTGGGCTTTAGTGGAAGATTATTTGATTGCATCTTGTGACCTGAACTTTCTTCATCCACCAGTTTTTTATGACCATCCTTTCTAGAAAAACTGGAAAAAAAAACACCCCACTTCCACATCTTCCTTTCCATTTTTCCCTCCCTCCCATCCCACAGATCCCAGGCTCCTTAAATGTTAGGAGATCCTTGGGGGAACGGATCTCGACGCCTTGTTGAGACCTTGGGTGTCAGTGGGAGCTCTGCTATAACTTTTGGTTGTTTGGTTTGAAAGTACCATGGCCTTGAGTGGAAACTGCAGGACTTACCTCCCTCCTAGAGAACAAGCAACTGCTGCACATCCTTTCCCAGAGGTGATAGAACTGAATGTGGGGGGCCAGGTTTACTTCACTCGTCTCTCCACGTTAACAGGCCTTCCTCAATCCCTGCTTTGGAAAATGTTCACCTCCAAAAAAGAAACAGCCAATGACCTGGCCAAAGATTCCAAAGGAAGGATTTTCATTGATCGCGATGGCTTCCTATTCCGTTACATTCTGGACTATCTCAGGGACAAGCAGGTGGTCCTGCCCGACCATTTTCCAGAGCGAGGAAGGCTCAAGAGGGAAGCCGAGTACTTTCAGCTCCCAGATTTGGTCAAACTTCTGACGCCCGATGAGATCAAGCAAAGCCCTGACGATTATTGCCATAGTGACTATGAGGAGGTTTCCCAAAGCAGTGACCCAAGAATATGTGCCCCTTCATCTCTCATGGCCTCGGATAGAAAGTGGGGCTTCATTACCATTGGCTACAGAGGTTCATGCCCCATGGGCAGAGAGACCCAAGCAGATGCCAAATTCAGAAGAGTCCCGAGGATTTTGGTTTGTGGCAGGATTGCTCTAGTCAAAGAAGTTTTTGGAGAAAGTTTGAATGAAAGCAGAGACCCAGACCGAGCTCCCGATAGATACACTTCTAGGTTCTACCTGAAGTTCAGGCACCTGGAACGGGCTTTTGATATGTTGTCAGAATGTGGCTTCCACATGGTAACCTGCAATTCCTCTGTGACGGCTTCTTTTGTCAATCAGTACACTGATGATAAAGTGTGGTCCAGCTACACAGAATATGTCTTTTATCGTAAGTACAAACGATGTCTGATATTGATTCAGTTTGCTTGAAGTCTGTTTCTTTTGAGGGGCCCCCTTTCTAGTTCATACGAGACTCACCATCTATGCTTTTAATTTGAGTTTCATTCTAGGAAAACAGGGTCCGAGGGGGATAAGTTTAGAACAAGTCTTTTCAGCACAGATTGACTGTACATTCAGGGGTATGGTCTTGGCTAGGTGGCAGCACAGACTGCCAGAATTTCTGGATCCTCCTTATGTCCAGCACACATTCAAAGACAAATACAGAGACACTACTATCTCTTTTATGTTAACTATTAATTGGATTGTCTGATGTGTTATCTGAGGATTCACTTAGTACCATCATGGCTCACAAAAAGGGACTGCTGATTTAATTACAGCAAATTGTCAAATGTGATTTAATGTGGGTGTTTGGAATAATCACACCCAGTCAGCAAAATCATCTGTCAACAATTTAACTCGCTTTCATGCAGAGGAAGGAAGTGAAATCTACTCATTCCATCCCTTTTCCAATAGGATCCTTTTTTTTAAAAAAAAATAAACATTTAAAAATAGTAACTGGTTGCTGAAGAATGACATTCCAGTAATAATTCTGACATTTGCTGACTTTTTAAGGAGTCTCATCAGTTTTAGTATCTGATATAATGTTTTGCTATCTCTGAACATTCTGCTATTTTTTTCTGACAACAATATAGTTGTATTCAACTCCTGTACAAGTACTTGCATAGATTTGATCCTCATCAAAATCAGATTTTCAGTTTCTGTGGACACCAATATGAAATTGAATTGCTTTTCCCTGTTACTCTGCATGTAAATGAGTGCTTATGGTAATTTTGAAAAGTAATGCAGACATTGCAATGTTGCTCTTATTATGGTTCAGTAACAAATGCTAATACTTGAATTAGTGACTTAATTGGAAATGTAATTTATAGGGATGCTTATGTTAGGAAACTTTATGGCATGTTTTATATTAAATACTTAATGTGCTATAATGTTAATTTATTTAAAACACTTTTTTTTTGCTAAAATCTTCTGATCCACCCTGTTTTTGAAAGTAATGAACCAAAAACAATGTTAACTATATATGATTGTACAAGGGCAAAAACAGAATGTTGGCTACATATGATTGTACATGGTTGATTGTTGGTGATTTTGCTTGTTTGAGAAGAGCTGGATTTCTTCTTTGTACTTGTATTGAGAAAATGAGAAAACATTAGAGATTGCCAATGTTGTAGTTAAAATCAATTATATTCATGCTGTTAATTAGGTTCTCATTTTCCTTTTGGATTGTTGTTTAAATTTTAGTATTTTCTTTTTTCTTATTTTTTTAATATCGAGGTTTTATTATCTATATGAAACACTGGTCATCAGGGGCCTCTAAGTATGGTGATGACTCTAAATCTTATCATCAGATTCAGAAGATGAAGTATTGGTGTCGAAACAACGTCTCAATGCCAATTAACATGGAATCCTATTAAATGGAAATAGATTGCACTGCTGGCCCATAGGTGCATGATTTGCATAGATCTATGTCTCTGGATGATGTATACTCCTGTCCCTCAAAAACAAAAGCAAAAAGTCCCCTAGCTTTGATGCACCATTGGATTCATCTCTGTCATGCAGAATAGCATCAGTGGCCCAAAGTCCATTTGGTCAGCTCTGATTTCCCTGAATCCTGAATAGAAGTGTCCCCAATGATCCATATTTTGGTAATTTTCCATTTAGGTTACTCACAATACATCAAGGGATCTGCATGCAATGGGTCCTAGAAAATGATTGCAAAGTTGCAGCTGATGCTCTTATGTGGAACACTCTTTGACTAGAACATTTTGATGCTAGACTGGTAGACCGACATTAAAACTCAGTAACATTATTTTAAAAAAGGATTTCAAGATTTTAATGATATATAAGGGTTTTAACAGTTTAGGAACTCATACCAGGGGAATCCTCTCATAGCATGGTAGTGATGGTGGCATTAGCTGCGGGGTTGTTAAGTATGTATATCGTATTATACATGGGCACAAGAGATGACCATTTCAGTTAAGGCATCCATAGCGATAGTACATTGGTTGCAGATGAGTTTCAAATGTTGACTCCAAATCCTAAAATGGCTCAGAACCCAAATATCTGAAAGATCACTTCTTCCAATACCAGTACATCAACTAAGAGACAGCTGCTTGTGATCCAAAAATCTAGTGGTGGGGAGTAGATACTGTAGTAGCACTTCATTTATGGAACTCTCTTAAAGGAAATATTTTATTCATAGCATGTCACCCAGGCATATTTCTATAGATTATATTTATGTTTTTGTATAAAACAAAAATGAGTTTGTTTTGTTTTATACAAAAACAAAAGCTTCCCTGAGATAAAGAACAATACTTATATAAATAAGATTTACTTACTAGTAAATTTAATAATGACCTTTTTGTGTTAAAAGTAGTTCTTCTCTTTCCCCATTCTTTGAAATATGTGATTTGTAGAACAAATAATTGTTTCGATTAGTTTCTGCACTGCTCTCTCACACAGACAAGCATGGTATAGGCATGCACTTTTGGATGTTTGGTGCTATAATTCACATCATTCTTGATGATTGATGGTGCTAGTGTTGCAACTTGTCACTTGGTGTCATGAATGGATGGGCTTTCTCTGACTGATCTATCTCCCTCCAAGTCATCAATGCAAGGACGTAGTCATACTTGGATTTAAGACTTTTCTTCGTTTTTCTTTTTCCTTACTCTTATATCCCTCTTTTCCTCTACAGCTCTTAAGATAGCATATACTGCATGGGATGACCTTACAATTTATCTGTACAATAATAATGTGTACTATAAAGTTGGTTGAGATATAGGGACTAAGTTTTAGTAGTTCATAGGGTTCCATGGTAAATCTGGGTCTCCCTAATCCCAGCCTAATTCTCTAAGCACTCAATCATTCATTGGACAAGGAACATTTTATAACATTCATAATTGTTGGGAAACTTTTCAGTGAGATCTCAGACTTGGGTCATAGTATAGAACCAATATTGATCATGTTTATTGATGACTTCTATGAGAACTGCGATATAGTGGTGGTTCTCCTTTATCTTTCACAACTTTGAATACTATTGATCATGGTATCCTTTTGGACATAATATGGAGATCAGGAGTAGGAGGCACAGTATTGGTTTTCTTCTTTTTTCACACCTGGTTCTAGTTGATGTTGGCATTGACTGGCAAGAGTGGTTGCAACTGAGGCCTCTTATGTGTGGGTGCCATAAGACTGGATGTTTGTATCATCAATATGCTATCAATATCCTGTTCCTTGGGGTGCTATTTTTGGGGGGATCTGGATGAGAAGAAGCAGATTTAAACTCCACCCTGGAAAGACCAAGTCACTTTATGTTTTGTGTTCTCTACATCAAGCCTTTACTATTTTTAATTCTAAATGGGGTGGTGCCCCTTCAGATACTGTATGGAATTTGGGATTGTTCTAGACTCAAATCCCCTACTTGAAGAGCAGGTAAGTGCTGTTGCTGGGGTGGGGTAGAGACTGCTGAAATACATCTGGTGTGACAACTACATCCTTTCCTGGACTGGGAATACAATCCAATGGTCACTCAGATCTTCATCATCTTTTATGTGGATTATTGCAATGTGCAATATTAGGATGCCATTTGGAAGCTACAGCTGATCCAGAACAGTGGTATGGGCCAATGTTCCCTCTAAGCTGGCAACAAAACACCGCACAGCAGTTTCCAACTGCTGTGCAGTGGTTTTTGGGAGATGCCCTCCATGATAATAGGAGAGGAGAGCCAGCCCGGAGTCAGCAGCGATCCAATCAATTCTAGGTCCACAAGGCAGAAAGTAGTTGAGAGAAGGGGTGCGAAGGTTGGGAGAAGGCATGGAACAGGCTCCCAGCAGCAGCTGCTCGCATTTGCCATGAGAACTTGTCTCTCCTGCCTCTTCGCTTCCCCATTTGGTCATTGGGCGGCAGATCGAAGCCGAGTCATTCCTTCCAAGAGACAACTTTCCCATCAAATGACTCGAGGAGACCCTCTGCAGTCCCTCTCGCCTGGCCGGGACACCAGCAAGAGTGTTGGGCTGAAGGAAGGAGGGATAAACACACTCACTCTCATATGAGAGAGAGAGGGGGGGAGGGAGGGAGGGAGAGAGAGAGAGATAAAGAGAGAGATATGGTGGGCAGACTTAGCACTTTGTTAAGTTTGTTTCTCTGTGTGGTGTGTATATATACATGTCTCCATGGGTGCAATTGTGCAAGCATTTTTTTCCTCTTTAAAAATTGTTTTGGATTTCTCCTCACCAAACCTTTAAAACTGAAAGAGTTAGAGTTGAAATATAAAGAGATTGTCAATTGCCATACTGTTCGATTGATAGGCAATTATGGACTATCTTGATTATATCCTCCTTAGAAAGAATATGCTACTGTATGGTTGAGAAAAAGATCAAACTTCATTCCATGGAAACCCAATAAAGTTCATAAGGAAGGTTTCTTTCTATGATGGGCTTCTTGGGTCAAGAGTGAATATCAGTTATCAAAAATGTAGGTAGAAAATTAAGCAGGCAATAGGCAATTACAAAAAGGGAAGCCAACTTTCTGAATTCTGTTTCTTTGCACTTAGTGACATAAATAGTAGACTAATGTTCTGAAAACCTGACCTAAATTACTATATATATATTCAGCATAGCTGAAAAGCTGTGCTGAAAAGGTTGTTCTCAAGGTATTGTGATAAATTCAATGAAAAGAAGGGAATTCTTTTTTAAGGAGAAATGAGAGTATTGGATAGTGAATGGACAAATAAAATTACCAATCAAAGAGAATATTTGTATCAGGGTTGAAATGAGATATTCTCTCTTACTCTTTCTTCTTCCTCTCTTCTCTCTCTGTCTCTCCCATCCTCTTTCTCTTTGTCTCTCTTCTCTTTCTCTCTCCTTCTCCATTCTTCTGATACTTTCTTTCTCCTTCTCTCTTCGCTCTCCTCCTTGTCTCTCTCAC